AATCTCTTTTTCTAGAATTCAGCAATTTTTACTCAAAGTTTTACAAAATTAGTGCGGTTTTAACATTAAAAAATGACTACCATTGCAGATTTATTCACCAAATACAATTGTACAAATTGCCAAGATGACATCCAGGGAATACGTGTGCATTGTGCAGAATGCGAAAACTTTGATTTATGTCTACAGGTAAGCAATAGCTGTCATTACAATTGTATGTACATAGCTTTTTCATGAGGGTAAAAGATGAAGAGTCGTCTATGACGCGTCATTTTCTTAAGAGAAGAAAAAAATATTGCTCTCTTAAATGTTGGAAATTGGTAATTAAGTGTTTATGTTTATTAGTGTTTTGCAGCTGGCGCGGAGATAGGCTCTCACTTAAACAGCCATGCCTATCAATTCATGGATACTGGAACCGCGATTTTATCCATTTTTCGAGGCAAAGGTGCATGGACGGCTAGGGAAGAAATTCGTTTACTCGACGCCATTGAACAGTATGGTTTTGGAAACTGGGAAGACATTAGCAGACACATTGAAACGAAATCAGCAGAAGATGCCAAAGAAGAATATGTCAACAAATTTGTTAATGGTACGATAGGTCGTCATACATGGACACCGGCTCAAGCGCAACGTCCTACATTGATCGACCATACAAGCGACGACAATGGACCTTTGGGTGCATTAGCTCTACAACGTTTACCTCCATTGGACATAACACTGGAGGAAGCAGCGCAATTAGGATATATGCCCAATCGTGATAGTTTTGAGCGCGAATACGATTTTACTGCCGAACAGTTGATTTCAAAAATGTCCCTAAATGCTGACGACACAGAAGCTGACTATTTACTTAAATTGTCGCACGTCGATCTGTATACAAGACGTCTTAGAGAACGAGTTCGTCGCAAGCGATTGGTCCGTGATTATCAGCTAGTTGCAAATTTCTTTCGCAATCGTAACTACGCTCAGCATCCGGGACTTTCAAAGGAACAAAAGGAGTTTCGAGACCGCTTCCGTGTTTATGCTCAATTTTATACATCTGATGAATATGAGCGGTTGCTAAATTCTTTAGAGCGTGAAAAAGAACTGCGGATACGATTGTCCGAGCTTTGCCGTTATCGTTACAATGGTTTGACTAAAATTGATGAATGTCGCCACTTTGAACAGCATGCAGCAATGGCAACCCGGTCAACCGGACCATATGGACACGGGAAATCTGTAAGTGTTTGGCTCTTATACTCACTCATATCCTGGTTATCATTTTGTCACCTCATAAAAAAATACATGCAACCATGGTACAATGATATCAAGGTAGGGCTATGATACCATATGATTTCAAATTTTTTTTTGGCTTAATATGTCATCTTTATTTGTTTATGTATGTGTTTTCTTTTCAATAACAAAAAAATTGTTCAGAAAATATTCAAATTCGGGTGTTTTCAAAATGTTTATTTCAACGTATGCATCGACAAAATCTAGAGTTTTTGTAGCGAAATAATCCTTTAGATTTAGATTTTGAAAAGAAGTATTGACCTTTCATTCAATTATCGCGTGAACTGAATTAACCGCGAAAACTGAATGAATAGTCAAAATTTCTTTTCAATATCATGTTCTATATATCTCTTATGGTTTATTTCGCGACAAAAACTGTTATTTTTGTCGATGTATTCGTTGCAATAAGCATTTTGAAAACACCCGAATTTGAATATTTTCTGAACAATTTTTTATTATTGAAAAGAAGACACACACACATAAGCACACACTTAGAAACAAATTGTAATCAGCTGTTAGCTCTACCTTACCTTTTTATTGTACCATGCATGCAACTATTTCTTTAAATATACATAGTTTACATACACATAATTTTATTTTTGAATTACTCAATCGATAGGAAAAAGAGTATAAATCCATGTTTACCTTCGTGCTTTTTTCCGGGTTAATTTTCGTTATGAAGATATTTTTGAGGTATATACAATGGAATTGGCAATTGAAACCCACTGGGTTTTCTTAATCGATTACAATGTAAACGTACTATTAGTACAGAATACATATACATTAATGATAATTTAGAGAACTGCTTGGTCAGAATGTATTTTAAACAACTTACCGAATTCAGAGTTAACGACTTGTGTCTTTAACGACACCCCAATTACCCAGACGTGTCCTTATACGAAATATCTAAAATTCAAATTTTATTAAATTCGGGTATTAATTTTCAAAAGAATAAATGAAACTTAGCCCATCATTCACAAGTGAAACTTAGGGGAAGCAACGGTTTAGTACTTATATCATTTCGTTATGGTGACGACTTTAAGGGGATATAAAGTAACCTTGAGATAAAATATAAGAACGGTTAATGCAACAAAGTTTCTATTTAATTTAAAATTTTCTATATAAATTTATTTTTCTTCCATTTATATAATTTGAAGCAAACCCAAATGACAATATATGTCACATATTATTTACTGATATAACGAAAATACAATGAAATATAATAAAAAAATGTTTTACTTTCAACATCTCAAATAATGCTCTCTTCTCTGTTATATCAGTGAAATAACCTACTCAAATACTGCTTAATAGAAATCAAGAAAAATCAATAAGTACCGCCATATTCAATAAATTTTACCTAATATTTAATTTCATAGAAATATGTATTTTTTTGGACGCCCAATAAACAAATTATGCAAAGAATAAGTAAACTGGGTAAAAAATCATGGAGTACAGTTAATACTCATTCTCATTCATTCAGTAATCCTTTTCATGTCTGCCACAAGATATTTGGCTACTAAGAACTGTTATAAATATTTAATTTATCCATTGCAAAAATTTACTTTTAAACCATGATGTAAAAAGCCATATCTTTGAAAAATGTGTATGTATCGATCTATACATAAATACAACTTACATAACCCATGCATGTTTAGTTTTTACTTTGACACTAAGTTGTGTATCTGTAATACACGAAGGCTTTTGAATATCGTGTGATGGTAATTAAAAATATGTATGTCTTTATGAACATATTCAAAATTTTTTTTTAAGGAAAAGACTAATGTTTCTATTTACCTCTTTGCGATATTCAGCTTCCGTGTATTATTAGCACTCCAAATGGCGAACGTTTAAATGGGTGTATAAGACAATGTTTCACTGCAGGACAATCCCAACACTGGAAATCAGCGGCAGCCAGGCTATTCCTCACACTCCCCACAACACAGCAATCGAAAACTGTAAGTTGATGAGGCTTTTATTTAATGATGTGTTATTTGATCGAATTTTTATGTTTATAGCGATCTGTCAAACGCAAACGAAAATCCAAATTCCATCGCACCAAACAGCATGCCCCACACAGGAGACCAGATCTCTTACGCCGTATCATCGCACAACAAAAACTACTTGGATAGCTATCGGGTATCACCGGCACATATGACGACATCGATGGTGTCGGGTGCAGGAATGAATTCAATGTCAACACCAACACCGTTGACGAAATCTCAGCTGAATACGAATCAACCTCACCTGCAGCAGTTGCTCACAGTGTCAGTGAAAAATCCACCACATCTACAAGTAAACGACGTCGCTATTATACAAAGTCAGAACACCGAAAAAACACAACATCAACAGTTGGAGATACAAAACAGTGCGATGACACAAATGCCCTCAAACGGCCTAAAAGGACCTCAGTTAACTCAATCACCAGCTACGCCGATGAGTAGTATTTTAAGAGCTCAATTGGACGAACTTAAGCAGCTACCACAGCCATTGGGAACTCAGCTACTGTCAACCAACGAACAACAAATATGTAATACATTTAATTTGCCACCTACATCTTATCTTTCCCTCAAAACACTTATTTTAAGTGGTGCTCCAGTCACTTCTTCCAACCTATCGCCAGTTGAAAGCTCAATTAGAAAATATTTTATAAAAGTTGGTTGGTTAAGCCATTAAATGTTCGCTCATATTCCCAATTTGTTGGAGGTGCCTAAGGCTCAAACATACAGCTCTATGGTGTAATTCAATTCGACGCAGTGTGAGCCTGTATAAGATTATAATTCCCTAGAAATATGTAAAATTGTTAAGTTAAACATTTTTTCTTTTCAAAACACATTATATTTGTATCATAAATTTCTTTAATATGAAATGTTGTATATCTTGATACTCAACTATTTATTATATTAGATTAATGCATCATAAAGCAAACATTAAGTTAATTAATATATAAATTAATTACCCTTATTACTCTTGACAGTTTCGTTGTGCGGCACATATAAAAACTTCGATCACGGCAAATTTGTAATAAAATTTAACAAATTGAATGAAGCTTTAAAAGATCATACTTAATTCATATGATCAGTCGTAAAGAAAACCTCCTACGACATTTTTTCGTATTGGTAATACGGCAACATGACGATTTGTCAATTGTAACAAGGATGAACAATGCACGAAAACGCGCCTGCATGTTGCTATCTAAAGAAATAGATACAAACATACATTAAAAACGATATATTTTATAAAAATTCACTTGTATCAAGTATGAATTGGAAATTAGTCATTTAGTTTGACGATTTTTTTTATTAAATAGCACTTAGAGAACTATATGTAAATACCTTGATAATAAAAACATAAAATTTGTCACAATCGTAGTAAAGTTATTTTATCTAATATCAATTTAAATATGATAAAATTTAAAATTGTTTCAATTGTACATTTGTTGTTTAAATTGAACATTCATAAAAAACGTGATTACTTTCGTAAGACAATTTAAAGAAAAGAAACGTGTGAACGGGTTGATTCATGTACATAATTCTGAGAGGAAAACATGTTTTCATAGGCAGTCAGGTATTTTTAATCCTCCGCCATACTGGGGGTATATAACTCTTTCATTTCATTTGTTCCTACTCGAATTAACAACCCTAGGTTCTACATAGTACATATATTATTCTATGTCGATTTTGTTGTGTGTTGTAATTACGTTACCTTTCGAACAAAGTGAAATAGAAAAATAAAAATTTGCACATATTTGCATTTTTATTTCAGTCCATGTTTTTGTATTGACAATGGCACCTCACTCCCTACATCTTTTGACGATTTCAGCCTCACATTCAGCGCTATTGTGGCCTACATTGTATTTAAAGGTTCATAATTGGCTTAAGTTAAATTGCTGTGCTTGGTTTGACCTGAAAGGATCGACCGAAAGTTCCGATACAAAATCCGGGTTTTATTCGAGCCAACTAAATAAAAGCAATATACAGGGTGAGATGAAAGAACGGATCTGGTTACTTTTCCTGCAGGAATTGTCCAGCAATATCTTTCTGAGAGAGTAAGGTAGTTTTATACTCTTTTGCAAGGAAAATGCGAAAAGTAAACAGACGGTATTCCAGCAACTAATCAGCTGATTAGTCAAAACAAGTCAATTTGTCCACCATTCAAAGAATTAAAAGAAAGGAAGCACCACCAATTTTACAAGTTTTATAATTAAAAAGGAAATTAACACGAAATTAAAATATGAACAATAAAAGAAAGATAGATTTGATGAGTTCCCCGGAATCCTTTAAACGTGTTGCTAATGACGTTTGTCTAAAAATGTTGGAAATAGTCTTTAATTTTCTTATTACATGTTTATATTTACGTTTTTCATATTTTGTAAAGTTGTTCTCCAAAAGCAAATAGTCTTGCTAATTCCAAAAAAGAAAAAATCAATAGAAAACATCTGGTTAAATGTCGATGAATGGCAAGTGTGGCCATTTTAGCATTTTTGCAGGTAAATTTAGCATTTATTTTTTGTATTTAGCAGCAAAATTTTCATTTGGCATTTTTCTTAGCTTTTCGAAATTTTTAGTTTAGCGTTTTTTTTTTGTCCAAAAATTTTCTAATATTTTAGTACTTCTTATAAATCCAATTTTTCTTAAATCTATTAAATGAAGATTTTAAACGAAATTACTATTTTATTAAGCAATGACAAAAACTTATTACATATGAATGGGCAAACACAAACTCAACAATTTATTTTTGGATATTAAAATGCTTTAAATGTGCCCTGTATATAATATCCTAACTATATAGTGTTGTAAGAAGTAAAAATATTACAAAATGTAAAATTCAATATTGTAAGTCAAAATGAAAATATCCCATGCGACAAATCGGCTTAGTTCAGCGAGATTGGAAGATCAATATATACTTTTCTATGTGGGAAGCCGAAATTTCGAAGTGTTACATAATTTTTGGCCCTATCAAACTTATAAGACCCCCAACACATAGTACTGCAGGATTTAAAAATATATTTATATTTAGCATTATTTTTTGGCATTTTAATTTTTTTGTTTGGCATTCTTTAGCATTATTTTCATGGGATTTTAGCTTCAACACTATTTTAGATCCGGTCACACTGGTTGCAAGTGTTTGCAGGAAGAAATTTGTCCAGCAAGAATTTGCAAACTCTCACTGAAAGAACTGTCAAAATGTTTCTCTCCAACCGCTCTCCTTGTGATTAACAGCTGATTACAATTTTTTTCTAAATGTGTGCCAATTTTGTGTATGTATTAATTGTTTTGAAAAATGAAAAAAAAATATATTTTCAAAAACCAATGACTGGAAGACACATGAATTGCGGCTCGCGCTTTAAAGCTATTAACCAGTATAGCCATGAAATTGAAAGATTGAACAGTTAGGATCATATTTTTGAGAGAAAAATCCAGACATTTTATTAATTTTTCGCGCAATTTAACTCATTTTAAAAATGAGGAAAAATATGAAAAAAAAAAATGAGAACAATAATTTTGAATGAGTCCGACAGGAAGCGGGCATAGCCTCAGGGCTGTATTTTTGTACCATGAGTACACATAAAACGTTTTTTAACTTGCTGCTTTGTAAAATAACAAAGGAGTAAACAAGTATAAATTATGTACCGAAATCGAATTAAGGCAACTTAAAACTCCTTTGTTCATTTACGAAGAAGCCAGCCGATGACTTAGGCCAGTCAAAAAAGCGTTTTCTTGTTTGCAGTCGGGAGGTTGAAAAAGTTTTCGTCATACCAGAGTATATCTAAATTGTTATTCTCATTGTACGTGTTAATTACTCTCATTGTACATTTTTTCTTAGTCGTTGTCTTGATAGTTTCTATTTTTTGGCGCATTTCTCTTTCTCGTTACAGGGGTATCGGTTGAATAACATAAGGAACATTTGCTGCACTCTAGGCGTCTACCTTTGCAACGACATCCCATCCTTGTGTGGTCTAGTCTTCCGCAGTTAAAGCATAGCCTTCCGATAGACAAAGGGTATCAACCAATGAAACCAATCTCAATGGTTTCTTTCGCACATCAGAACCTTATTTCTCTTTGAATCGTCACTTTTCTATCGGAGACAATACTTTTCAATTTGCCCACGGAATTGTTTCAAATGTTTAAATACCAAATTTGAAACAATTCCGTGGACATTTGCCTTAGGTTTGCACCGGAATAACATATATTTTTGACAAAAAATTAGATGTGATAAGCTACACAAACAAATAAAAAAATAGAATTGATTGTTTGCTTGATTGATTTTTTACATAAAAACCTTTACCCGAGTCAAACGCGATAAGTAACCAATCAGCGTTTAACGGATGTTTTATAGTCAAATTTATTGTGATTGTCCATTAACAGGATTAACCCGCACAAAGGTTGTACTTTAATTCCATCTGACTACCAATTTTGCTTTTGTATGTATTGTTGGTACACGCTTTGGTATAACGCCCATATAAGGGTACCTCCGGATTTTTGGTATTATCACACGAATATGTCTAACCTAGGTGGAGGGTATTAATGTTTTTTTACTTTTTTATTGATTTCGAAGAAGCGCATTTATTAATATTGTGAGTTTCGCGTGAAGAAATATACCAGAAAAAAATATTTGAATCGAAGCGAAATATTTTGTTCGCTGCGGTCAAATAATTTTGAAATCACAAATGTTGACTGTATGAGCGTTTTTTCAACAACAATTGTATTTTTTCGCTAAGCTTACACGACTTGTTTAATGAATCTTATCCAATTTTAGTGCATAAAAATAGGTTTCCATCTCTGACATGGATTTTAAAAATATATATTTTGACAATTAGATGTTATTAAACCCATGGTCGAATAATACGGGTAACAGCAATTTTTTGTACAACAAACGTAACAACTATCATGGTACAATGAAGACAAGGTAGTCTAACTTTGAAAAAACGTCAAGTATAGAGGTCTACCTGTCTGACTTGTACTGTCAGAATTACTATCAACACCATGAAAAAACCAAACAACTTGTTGTATTGATTTTGGCCTAACTCTAGTTTATTAAAAACTCTTCACTTTTTTCAGTGGTAGGTATTTTTACACTGATCCCGGGAAACTATTTTTTTTGAGGGGACGGACCCGGGACCCCAGGTATTTGAGCCGAAAGTCCGAGTTCGAAACCTGGATCAACTAACCCGTGGAAAAAATAACATTCCTTTCAAACTGCACACATGAATAAAGTATTCTACATTTTGCAATTTAAGGAAATATAAATTATACGACAATATTGCTTTGGCAACTTATCTAGCTGCCGTAAATCCAGCGCTAACTGTTTGTACCATGGTTCTACCCAAGACCCATTAAACAGGTCGTGTAAGCACAACGAAAAACTACCATTGTGATTTAAAAACGCTCATTATGTCGACATTTTTGTTTACGGTCCTACAGCTAGATGCATCAGCGCTAGGGAGCATTGATATGTCAAAATTGTTAAAATGTTTTGTTAAAAATAAGCAGAGACGAGGCAAATTTCAATAATTTTTCATTCAAAATTCCTAATTTCAAAATTGGTTTGACAGTTTATTGTCCCAGCAGTTGTGTCGATGCGACTACCCGTTTTCTTCTTCCATGGACCTACCCATGGTCCAAGTATAAAGTCTCCTAAACGCTCAAGCCAGCTGACCATGAAATTTAATATCAAAATGCATTATTGTGATATAAATCGCAGAACAGAAGATAAACAAATAGTCAACAAAATGTGAACAAATTTTCACATAAATCTTGGTTTTAAAATTTGTTAGGCCACCTTGTTATAGCGCCATGGCCTTACCCCTTTATCGTACCATCACAACAATGAATTTTTCAACTTTTTATTGGGCCATGGGCCATAGGAATTATATCTATTTTATACTAACGGTTATTAACCTCTTAACTGCATTTATGTATACATATTTTAAAATAAATCTCACCAATAAAGAATCTCTCAACCGTATTATATTTTTATCAATATGATTATCGTACAAAACATTTTTTTGTTTATTCGAAGGGGGTTCACGTTTTTCAAATACATTTATGTATAAAACAACTTTACTTATTTCTCAAAAAATACCGATAAAGAGTATTTTTCTGGGTGGCTGTGGAATTTACTCCTCCACCTCCTGCTTTAGCAGTATTATTTACTACGTTAGATTTCTGTGAGGCATTAGCTGCACCGCTTGGTCCTAATGAAGATAAAGTTCCATTAGCTACGGCTGCAGCAGCAGCTGCTAGTGAACTTCGCCACGAAGCTATAAGTTCGTTTTGAACATCGACTGGTAACTCATTGAAAACCTGGGGATCAACGCCTGCTGGACACGGAATGTTGGCAAGATTGCCAGTATTTTTAGTATTCTGATTAGTGATGCTTGTAGTATACTGTTTCGCATTGTTGTTTGTTTCAGATTGTTCGGCGCTGGTGCAAGAATCCATAGGAATACTATTTATGCTCGGTGAGGAGGACATTGAATGCTGCTCAGAAAAAACCAAAGCGTTTGCTCGAAAATCTTCTAAACTATCAGTTAAGTTTGAGGTTTGAACGGACAGGGTCTGAGTTGTGGCAGTTGTTGAAATCGATAATGGAGATGTCGGTGTATTATTAGGAGAGGCACTTGTAAACGATGTCATTGAAAAATCTCTGTCGCTGTCTCTAGAATTAAGTCGTAGGTCGCAAACTCGCAATTTGCTTGGTGAAGCAACATCTGCAGCTGACTCGCATGGAGAATTATATGCAGCCGAATTACCAAAACAGCGACGTTTATTGAGCAACAAGCGACTTATTCTACTCTTTTTCGGAGATGGTTCAACCTCCGTTTCTGAAAAATCTGAAAAGTCTGAATTTGTTGCTCCAGATTCAGAACCGTTATCCACTAGCATAGGAATGGGGGATGCCGCCGTGGTGCGCCTTCGATAAAACTGATCGCTCGGTTGGAAGGTTGTAGGCGACGAACGAAATCCCTCGTTGTCACTACTGGGCAGGTTTGGAGTAGAATGGGATGTATCATCAACAGTAACGCCAATGGCATCAACATCAGTGTTAGTTAGAGAAGTAATAGACTGAACTTCTAGGTCAGTCTTTTTAATGAGGAAATTGGCAATTGAAGACGATCCAACTTTTCGCTGTTGAAATTTTGAGAAAGCCAGTCCTATTAGCGTGATATTAAACGGTTTGCTTAGATCAACAACCCGTTCAAACAGACGCATTACGATCTTCAATAGTTTCTCTTGTGCACCATCTGCTAGCACCACTTTTGGACCGCCGCTATCAGCGCATGAATAAGACTTGAAAAGCGATGGCAGAATATTGGCTTGTTTGGTTTCCCGATGACTGCTCTTTTTTTGCAAATCAAACTTGCGTAATACAACCTTAATGCATATCGGTATGCGACCATCTTCAGCAACCTAAAAGTAATTCAGAACAAATCGTTCAGTACCTTAAGACAATTTACATTTTTTTATACCTGTTCCATTAACCGAAGTAAAAGAAGACGAAAGCGCTCCTCGACATCAGTCCTCACCGATATTGGTTTGCAAGAGTCTTCCAAACCAATTGTTTTTGGCTTTCCCGTTGGCCTGACTGCACAATTATCACGTCCGAACGCAAGATCTTTCAACTTTGTGGCAGTTTCAAATCCGAACTTTTTCTTCAGGAAGTCTATATCGCATCGCTGCAGTTCTTCAACATTATTTACACCACTTTCCAGTAAAAGGCATTCAGTTTTTTGCCCAATACCTGTGATCCGATTCAGGTCACATAATTCTCGCATAAACTGTTCAGCGTGAGTGGAAACCAAAACAGTTTGTTGGTTTGGTTTATACTGAGATCCTACAAGTTTGGCCAAAAGTTTATTATAGGAAATTCCTGCGCAACAGGTTAGACCGAGTTTTATGCTCAATTCCTCTCTTATTTCCTGAGCAATTTGTGTTCCCAATGCCAAGCGATACGCACAGCCGCAGCGACATGCATTCAAAGTTGTTCCATCTGAGGGATATATATGACCAACAACAGTAGGTGCATCAATATCATCACTTTCCAGTTGATTTTTTTCTTGTTCTCTCTTCTCTACCAGCGCGGATACATCCATGAAATTCTCATCGAATCCAAGTTTTTCAACTAAAGGCGTGTAGTTTAGCAAGATTTCAAATATTTTTTGTGACATTTGTCGATAAGGTGTCAAATCTTCGCCAACCACTAATACTAAATCGGGACATAATTTCTTGGCCTCTGAAACCAGCATAAGCTTTTTAATACCTTTCGCTCTGGCATTATAGTTACACGTTACGACAATGTTCTTTTGCTGCACTCCCAATGGACGGGATTTCAATGTGGGATCTCTAATCTCTTCCACTTGAGCGTAAAAATAATCCATATCTATGTGAATTATTGTGCGCTGGTGAGGTTCATTCTTCTGCAGTACACTGGCAAAATCCATGCTGCTAAATCGGTCCCTATCTAGAATAAAATTAAAACATTTTAATAATTTTTTCCAAAGTTCGTTCCGATTTTATGCAGTAATAAATATGACGCAAATTGCTGGCGCAATTGTCACCATATATATCTGAATGTATGTTCGCTCGTTACTTAGTTGAAAAGCATTTCATTTCGCAATAGAAAATATATAGAATTTTACTTTTAACACAAATATATTCTTAAAACACTGTTTGTTCAATTTGTTCATTACTTTTATTTATTATGATGCTTGAAATTTAACAGAATACCTAATACAAGCCGTACATTAGTTCAATTTTTTTGCGTACAGAGAAGCAAAAC